AAATAATAAAAAATATATGTATATATATATATATATATATATATATATATATATATATATATATATATGTGTGTGTGTGTGTGTATATATATATATATACACCGTGTCCTAACATTGTTTTTACTTAAAATAACCCTCCATTTATTGTATAATTAGCATAAAAACAGTATAATCCTTTCACCTAAAAAAATTGAAGAACATGATTATAATTTTGTACCAGTAGGGGGCGATACACACTGAGAATGTCTCTTGCCCCTGAACACAAGGTGTTGTGCTGCTTTTTGGCATCTATTTCCATGGTGACTCCTGTGTTCTGTTGAGAATGTCTTGTGTGTTTATGGTTTGAGCTCTGGAGTTTGCAGGTCTAGGTTTAGCAGATTAGCTTTCTGGAATACACCCCTGGAGTGTGTGTTGGTGATTGTCAGTGCGCTCTTCGAGTCAGCGGCGGCGGTATGAACTTTCACAGAAAGCAGGATGGAGCCGCTCGGCTGCATCTCAGGCATGAGTGTGTCACAGTTTAATGTCCTGCGACTCTGACATCTTGGCGAGCGTCTTCTTGACCCGCAGCGCTGTCAGCCGTGACGCAGGATTATGAGCCCAGCACTCGCTCATCAGTTTACCCATCTGCCTCAGACACTGACAACACAGAAACACACACAGTTAATATGATCCCGTACAGCGCTCAGATCATTCAACAGTGAAATTACTTACAACACTACGACACCGTGTCCTAACAACACACCACAATATTCCAGCGACAAGCAAGACATCTGTCTGCACCACACACACATTAAAATAGCAGCCACTGAAAGGGTAGAGGCTTTTAATTCAGTAAGCACACATCAAACGTGTGACATTAATAGGCTACTGAGTGACTGTGGTTGTTGGCTTGCACAGTTTCATTTTTCAAAGTGTCTGCTAGTTTATTTTATTTTCAGGATCTGAGGTGAACTATCTGCTGTTATTATGGCGATAAACAAATACATATAATATAATAATGTTATATTATACATATAATGATGTTTGACTCATTGGGAGCATTTAACTCTGCATCAAGCCCATAATCAGTACCTGAGGACATCTTTGTCGTAGTAGTTGATGCTGTTGTTTTACTGCGAAGTTGCGGATATAGAAACAGTTTCTATAATAGAAATTTAATGTGCCACCATTCATACATACATTTATACATTCATTCATACACACATTCATTTATTCATACACACACATACATACATACATGCATTCATACATGCATTGATACATACACATTAATTCATACATACACACGCGCACACGCAAACATTCATACATATATACATACATTCATTCATACACACATTCATTCAATCATTCATTCATGCATACATACACGCACACACACACACATTCATTCATACATGCATGCATGCATTCATTCATTCATACACACATTTATTCATTCATTCATACATACATACATACATGCATTGATACATACACATTAATTCATGCATACACACGCACACACGCATACACACAAACATTCATACATATATATACATACATACATTCATTCATACACACATTTATTTATACATACACACACACATTTATTTATACATACATACACACATTCATACATACATACTTACACACGCACACACACACACACAGTCACACATTTATTGATTCATACACACACACACACATTCATTCTTATAAACATTTATTCATTCATTCATACACACATTTATTTATACATACACACACACATACACATTCATTCATCCATACATACATTCATTAATACACACACACACACACTTATTCATACATAAAGAATTCATTCATCACACGTTCATTTATTTAATCACTCATACAAACATACATTCATTCATACATACATACATACATTCATTCATTCATACATGCATTGATACATACACATTAATTCATGCATACACACAAACATCCATACATGTATACATACATTCATTCATACACACACACACATTCATACATTCACACACACACTCATTACATATACTAAAATACTTTTTCTTTTTTTTTTTCACAGGAGCTTTAAACAACTACAGCCATCCAAATGCTGCTCTGATGTCCATCAAAAATAAAGTAACTTCACACGTGTGTGTAGTGAGCGCTGGCGTCTGCACCTCATCACTGCTCCAGCGGTTGGCAAAAGAGGGTCTCTGCCTCTTGATACACACCACCTCCCGCATGTCCTCATATGATGGGTCTGAGGGAACCAGGTCATGATACGGCAGCTGATACTCCTCCATGATGCCTGCAGGAAACACACTGAGCAATTAATTAATTACACGGTGTAAGAGCGAGTGCCTATCTATACATGCATGTATGTATGAGTGTATATGTATGCCCACAATTCATTCATACATAAATCTATGTATGTATGAATGCGGGTTTGAATGTGTGTGTGAATGAGTGTATGTATGTGTGAATGAACGCGTGTATGAATGAATGTATGTATGACTGCATGTATGTTTGAATGTGTGTATGTATAAATGCGTGTGTGAATGAATGAATGAGTGAATGCATGTATGTATGTATGTTTGAATGAGTGTGCAAGTGAATGAATGTATGTATGTTTGAATGGGTGTGTATGCATGTGTGTGTAAATGAATGAATGGATGTATATTTGTATGTATGTATATGTCAATGAATGAGTGTGTGTATGCGTAAATGAATTTGTGAATGAATGAAAGCATGTATTTATGTATGTGTGAATAAATGTATGAACTAATAAGTGAATGCATGTGTTTATAAATGTATGTGTGTGTGAGAGAGAATGAATGCATGTTTGTATAAATGAATAAATGTGTATGTATGTGTGAATGTATAAATAATTGTAAGTGTTTGTAAATGCATGTATGTATGTTTGAATGGGTGTGTATGAATGGATGTATATTTGTATGTATGTATATGTCAATGAATGAGTGTGTGTGTGCGTGTGCGAGTGCGAGTGTGAGTGTATGCGTGTGTGAGTGAATGTATGCGTGTATGAATGCGTGTGTGAATGAATGCATGCATGTATGTATGTATGAATAAATGAGTGTGTATGTATGTGTTAATGCATGTTTGTATCAATGTATGAATGAATATATGGATATTTGTATGACAGTATGAATTCATGAATGTATGTATGTGTGAATGCATGAGTGAATGTGTGTATGAATTAATAAATGTAGATGTGTGTGAATGAATGTATAAATAAATGCATGTTTGTATGAATGAATGAATGCATGTATGTACGTACTTTCCCCTTGCTCCACTCCATAATAAACAGCCCTACGGGGATTTAAACTGTCTCTGTGTCCGTGTGATCTCTCACCTGCAACAGTATGCATGAATATATGCATGTATGTATGAATGTATAAATGAATGTTTGCATGTATGAATGAATTAATGCGTGTGTGTGTATGAATGAATGTATGTATGTATGTTTGAATGAGTGTGTGTATGCATGTGTGAATGAGTGTGTTTGCATGTGTGAATGTATGTGTATGAATGAATGAATGTATATATGAACTAATGAGTGAATGCGTGTGTGTGTGTGTGTATGTATGCATGTGAATGAATGAATGTATGAATGAATGTTTGCATGTATGAATGGATATATGTATGTTTGAATGGATGTTTGTATGACAGTATGAATTTATGTATGCATGAGTGAATGCGTGTATGAATTAAATGTAAATGTGTGTGAATGAATGTATATGTGTGTATAAATGAATGAATGTATGCATCCATGTATGAATGAATAAATGAATGAATGCATGTATGTATGTACTTTCCACTTGCTCCACTCTATAATAAACAGCCCTACGGGGATTTTGTCTCTGTGTCCGTGTGATCTCTCACCTGCAACAGTATGCAATATATGTATGTATGAGTGCATGAATGTGTAAATGCATGTATGTATGAATGCATGTGTGTATGTATGAATGTATAAATGAATGAATGTATGTTTGCATGTATGAATGAATGCATGTGTGTGTATGTGAATGCATGTATGTATGAATGAGTGAGTGAATGTATGAATGCGTGTGTGAATGAATGATTGTATGTTTGTATGTATGTGTGAATGCATGTATGAATAAGTGTATGTGAATGAATGTATATGTGTGTGTGTGTGTGTAGGTATGTATGAATGTGTGAATGCATGTAATAATGAGTGTATGTATGCATGTATGAATGTGTGTGTGAATGAATGTATGTATGTATGTATGTATGAATTAATGAATGTATGTGTGAATGCATGAATAAATTTATGTATGTGTATGTGAGTGAATGAATGCATGTATGAATGTATGTATGTAAAAATGCATGTGTGAATGAATGAATGTATGTTTGCATGTATGTGTGTGTGTTAATGCATGTATGAATGAGATTGTGTATGCGTGTGAATGAATGAATGTATACATTAATGTATGTGTTTGTGATTGAATGCATGAATCAATGTATGCATGCATGTATGAGTTTATGTATGAATGAATGTATGTATGTATGAGTGGATGTATGACAGTATGAATTCATGTATGCATGTATGTATGAGTGTATGTATGTGTGTGTGTGTGTATGAATGTATAAATGTATGTATGTATGAATAAATGAATGTATAAATGCATGTATGTATGTTGTATGTGTGTATAAATAAATGTATGAATAAATGTATGAACTAATGTATGTATGAATACATGTGTGAATGAATGTATGAATTAATGAATGTATGCATGTATAAATGCATGTGTGTATGAATGAATGCTTGTATGTGTGTATGAACAAATGAATGAATGTATGTGTGTGTGTATGAATGAATGTGTGAATAAATGCGTGTGTGAATGAAAGAATGTATGTATGTGTGAATGAATGTATGTATGTATGTGTGTATGTATGCATGTGTGAGTGAATATATGTATGTGTGAATGCATGTAAGAATGAATGAGTGAGTGAGTGAGTGTATGTATGTATGTGTGAATGTGTGTGTGAATAAATGTATGAATGAATGCGTGTGTGTGAATGAATGAATGTATGTATATGTGAATGCATGAATGAATTTATGTATTAATGTATGTGTGTGAATAAATGCATGTATAAATGAATGAATGTATGTATGTTGGCATGTATGAATGAATGCATGTGTGTGTGTGCGTGTGTGTGTGTGTGTGTGTATGTGAATGCATGTATGTATAAATGAGTGAGTGAATGTATGAATGCGTGTGTGAATGAATGATTGTATGTTTGTATGTATGTGTGAATGCATGTATGAATAAGTGTATGTGAATGAATGTATGTGTGTGTGTGTGTTTAGGTATGTATAAATGTGTGAATGCATGTAAGAATGAGTGTATGTATGTATGCATGTATAAATGTGTGTGTGAATGAATTAATGAATGTATGTGTGAATGCATGAATGAATTTATGTATGTAAACATGCATGTGTGAATGAATGAATGTATGTTTGCATGTATGATTGTGTGTAAATGCATGTATGAATGAGTGTGTGTATGCGTGTAAATGACTGAATGTATACATTAATGTATGTGTTTGTGATTGAATGCATGAATCAATGTATGCATGCATGTATGAGTTTATGTATGAATGAATGTATGTATGTATGTTTGTATGAGTGGATGTATGACAGTATGAATTCATGTATGCATGTATGTATTAGTGTATGTATGTGTATGTGTGTATGAATGTATAAATGTATGTATGTATGAATGAATGAATGTATAAATGCATGTATGTATGTTGTATGTGTGTATAGATAAATGTATGAACTAATGTATGTATGAATACATGTGTGAATGAATGTATGAATTAATGAATGTATGCATGTATAAATGCATGTGTGTGTATGAATGAATGCATGTATGTGTGTATGAACAAATGAATGAATGTATGTGTGTGTATGAATGTATGTATGAATGAATGCATGTATGAATGTGTGAATAAATGCGTGTGTGAATGTGTGTGTGAATGAAAGAATGTATTTATGTGTGAATGAATGTATGTATGTGTGTATGTATGCATGTGTGAATGAATATATGTATGTGTGAATGCATGTAAGAATGAATGAGTGAGTGAGTGTATGTATGTATGTATGTGTGAATGTGTGTGTGAATAAATGTATGAATGAATGCGTGTGTGTGAATGAATGAATGTATGTATGAATGCATGTATGTATATGTGAATGCATAAATGAATTTATGTATTAATGTATGTGTGTGAATGAATGCATGTATGAATGTATGTATTGTATGTGTGTGTGTGTGTGTGTGAATAAATGCATGTATAAATGAATGAATGTATGTATGTATGTTTGCATGTATGTGTGAATGCATGTATGAATAAATGAGTGTGTGTATGCGTGTGAATGAATGAATGTATACATTAATGTATGTGTTTGTGATTGAATGCATGAATCAATGTATGCATGCATGTATGAGTTTATGTATGAATGAATGTATGTATGTATGTATGTATGTATGTTTGTATGATGGATGTATGACAGTATGAATTCATGTATGCATGAATATATGCATGTATGTATGAGTGTATGTATGTGTGTGTGTATGAATGTATAAATGTATGTATGTATGAATGAATGAATGTATAAATGCATGTATGTATGTTGTATGTGTGTATAAATAAATTAATGTATGAATAAATGTATGAACTAATGTATGTATGAATACATGTGTGAATGAATGTATGAATTGATGAATGTATGCATGTATAAATGCATGTGTGTGTATGAACAAATGAATGAATGTATGTGTGTGTGTATGAATGTATGTATGAATGAATGCATGTATTGAATGTGTGAATAAATGCGTGTGTGAATGTGTGTGTGAATGAAAGAATGTATGTATGTGTGAATGAATGTATGTATGTGTGTATGTATGCATGTGTGAATGAATATATGTATGTGTGAATGCATGTAAGAATGAATGAGTGAGTGTATGTATGTATGTATGTATGCATGTGTGTGTGAATAAATGTATGAATAAATGCGTGTAAGAATGAATGAATGTATGTATGAATGCATGTATGTATATGTGAATGCATGAATGAATTTATGTATTAATGTATGTGTGTGAATGAATGAATGCATGTATGAATGTATGTATATGTGTGTGTGTGTGTGTGTGTGTGTGTGTGTGTGTGTGTGTGTGTGTGTGTGTGTGTGTGTGTGTATATGTATAGTGTGTGTGTGTGTGTGTGTGTGTGTGTGTGTGTGTGTGTGTGTGTGTGTGTGTGTGTGTGTGAATAAATGCATGTAAAAATGAATGAATGTATGTATGTTTGCATGTATGTGTGAATGCATGTATAAATGAATGAGTGAGTGAATGAATGAATGTATGTATGTGTGAATGAACAAGTGTATGTATGTGTGAATGAATTAATAAATGTATGTGTGTGTGAATAAATGCATGTATGTTTGTATGAATGCGTGTATGAATGAATAAGTATATGACTGTGTGTATGAATTACTAAATGTATATGTGTATGAATGAACGTATGTGTGTATGTATGTGTGTGCGATTGCATGTATATGTCAATGCATGTGTGTATGAATGAATGTATGTATGTATTAATGTATGTGTTTGTGAATGAATGCATGTATGAATGAATGTATATGTGAATGAATGAATTGATGAATATGTATGCATTGAGGCAGACCTGCTATTGTGGCGTGTGCATTGCCATGGAAAGGACTCTCTCACTGTAATCAACACTCACGTGCCGATCCGGGACAGCTGCTGCTCGTTGGGAGAGGAGCATCTAAAAGACGTCTTCATGGGAGACGGTAAACACACAGAGCCCTGCCCTGTTCTCTAACTGGGCACCCTGACTTGCATGGACCAAAAACTAACCGCCCAGCACATCGCAGTACACTTTCCCCTTGCTCCACTCCATAATAAACAGCCCTACGGGGATTTAAACTGTCTCTGTGTCTGTGTGATCTCTCACCTGCAACAGTATATATGAATGCATGAACGTATGAATTAATGAATGTATGTATGTGTGAATTAATGAATGAATGCATGTATAAATGAATGCATGGATGTATGAATGAATCAATGAATGTATGCATGCACGTATGAGTATGTATAAATGAATTTATGTATGTTTGAATGGATGTTTATATGAGTGTATGTATGACTGTATGAATTCATGTATGTGTGTATGAATGCATGTATGTACGTACTTTTCCCTTGCTCCACTCCATAATAAACAGCCCTACGGGGATTTAAACTGTCTCTGTGATCTCTCACCTGAAAATGTATGGATGCACGAATGTATGTATGAATGAATGAGTGAATGTATGAAAGCATGCATGTATGATTGTATGTATGAATAAATGCATGTACAAATTAATGTATGTATGAATGAATGAATGAACAAATGTATGAATGCATGTATGTATGAGTGTGTGTATGAATGAATGCATGAATATATAAATGAATGAATGCATGCATGTGTGAGTATGAATGAATGCGTGTATGTATGGATGAATGCATGTATGTATGTGTGTGTATGAATGTATGTATGTATGTATGTATGTATTGTATGTATGTATGACTAAATGAATGTATGTATGAATAAATGTTTTTAAGTATGAATGTGTAAATGTATGCATGTCTGAATGCATGTATTTTTGAATGAGAGAATATATAAATTCATGTATGTATAAATTAATGAATGCATGTATGTATGTATGTATGTATGAATGTATGTATGTATGAATGAATGTATAAATGCATGTATGTATGAGAGTATAAATGAATGCATGAATGTATGGATCCATGTACGTATGCATGTATGAGTAAATATGTATGAGTATGTATGAATGCCTGTATGAACTTATTGTATGCATGTATGAATGAATGAATGAATGAATGAATGTGTGTGCATGAGAGAGAGAGTGTGTGACAGTGCGAACAAGGTCTTGTGTAAAGTGTGTGTGAGAGTGCATGTGTATGTGTTAGTGTGCAAACTAGGGCCTGTCGGTGTGTGTGTGTGTGTGTGTGTGTGTGTGTACTGACCGCCAGACACACATCTCCTGCTGATCTCCCACAGGATCAGGCCGAAGCTGTACATGTCCGCCATGATGTAGGACTGGAAGTGGCAGCGGTTCAGACTCTCGTCCAGCACCTCTGGAGGCATGTAGCGTTTGGTGCCCACACGCGTGTTTGGAGGGATGTCCACTTCGTTAGTGTCACTGAACACACACACACCAACACACATAATGAAGTTTGCTGCTTTAACAAAGGTGCATTGTGTTTATTTACACAATGAACACTATAGTGTTGTTTAACAATTGTAAACATACGTGTGTGAGCAAGCGCATGTGTGTGTGCTTGTATGCATGAATGCATGTGTTTATGAGTGCGTGTGTGCATGTGAATAATGAGTGTTTGTTTGTGCATGTATATGTGTGTGTGTGCGTGCATGTATGTACTTGTGTGTGTGTGCATGCATGTGTGCATGTGTGTGTGTTTGACCTGATGAACTTGACAGCGAGGCCGAGGTCAGCGATGCAGCAGGTGCTGTTCTTCTTGACCAGGATGTTTTTGCTCTTCAGGTCTCGGTGGGCGATGGCCGGTTTCCCCTGCGTGCCGAAGATCTCAGTGTGCAGATGGCAGAGGCCGGAGACGGCGGAGTACGAGAGCCGCAGCAGCGCGCGCGTGTCCAGCGTGGTGGACTTCAGGTAGTCGTACAGCGAGCCGCTCTCGTGATAATCCGTGATCAGGTACAGCTGCGTCCACGAGCCCGTGCCTTTAATATCTGCTGCGATGAAGCCTGAACACACACATACAGACACAAATGTACAAATGAATGTATGTATGAATGAATGAACAAATGTACGAATGCATGTATGTATGAGTGTGTGTATGAATGAACGTATGAATGCATGAATGAATAAATGCATGTATAAATGAATGAATGTATGAATGCATGTATGTGTGAGTATGAATGTATGTATGTATGTATTGTATGTATGTATGACTAATAGAATGTACGTTTGAATAAATGTTTTAAGTATGAATGTGTGAATGTATGCATGTATGAATGCATGTATTTTTGAATGAGTGAATGTATAAATGCATGTATGTATAAATTAATGAATGAATGCATGTATATATGTATGAATAAATGTATAAATGCATGTATGTATAAATGAATGAATGAATGCATGTATATATATGTATGAATGAATGAATGAATGAATGAATGCATGTATATATATATGTATAAATGAATGTATAAATGCATGTATGTATAAATGAACGAATGAATGCATGTATATATGTATGAATAAATGTATAAATGCATGTATGTGTAAATGAATGAATGAATGAATGCATGTATATATATATATATATATATATATATATATATATATATATGTATAAATGAATGTATAAATGCATGTATGTATAAATGAATGAATGAATGCATGTATATATGTATAAATGAATGTATAAATGCATGTATGTATAAATGAATGAATGAATGCATGTATATATGTATAAATGAATGTATAAATGCATGTATGTATAAATGAATGAATGAATGAATATATATATATATATATATATATATATATATATATATGTATGAATGAATGTATAAATGCATGTGTGTATAAATGAATGAATGAATGCATGTATATATGTATGAATGAATGTATAAATGCATGTATGTATAAATGAATGAATGAATGCATGTATATATGTATGAATGAATGTATAAATGCATGTATGTATAAATGAATGAATGAATGAATGCATGTATATATGTATAAATGAATGTATAAATGCATGTATGTATAAATGAAAGAATGAATAAATGAATGCATGTATATATGTATAAATGAATGTATAAATGTATGTATCTATAAATGAATGAATGAATGAATGAATGCATGTATATATGTATAAATGAATGAATGAATGCATGTATATATATATATGTATAAATGCTTATATGTATAAATGAATGAATGAATGCATGTATATATATATATGCATGAATGAATGTATAAATGCATGTATGTGTAAATGAATGAATGAATGCATGTATATATGTATAAATGAATGTATAAATGCATGTATGTATAAATGAATGAATGAATGCATGTATATATGTATGAATGAATGTATAAATGCATGTATGTATAAATGAATGAATGAATGAATGCATGTATATATGTATAAATGAATGTATAAATGCATGTATGTATAAATGAATGAATGAATGCATGAATGCATGTATATATGTATGAATGAATGTATAAATGCATGTATGTATGAGAGTATAAATGAATGCATGAAGTTTTCAAGTAGTTGAATAGTTTTTTCATAGCTATAAGCGTTATGCTGTGTTCACACCAGACGCTGACGGAGCATCAAGCATGAGTGATTTACATGTTAAGTCAATGCAAACGTTCAAATAGACATCCTACGGCGCGATACGCGTGAATGACATGGCTCAAATGACGCGAATTACACGAATGGTGCGGTGCGAATGACGCAGTATGCACGAATTGAGCGTTTTTCGCATTTGACGCGTGTTTCGCACAAGTTGCTACCGTTTGAAAATTTGAACTTTAGTGGACATTCACGCTGCGTTAACCAATCAGGAGCTTGCTCTTGTGGGGGTGTGATTATGACGTAGCGCCAGTTGTTGGTGTCCCGGGGGAAAATTTCCATAGCTATAACCATTATAATTCTGCTAATAATTACGCCATAACGTTGCTATAAAACCCGAAACTAAAACTGAAATAATTTCATAATAATTAATGAATGAATATGAGCTGCATATCGAATTGAAGTGGCATTCCTATATTGGTGTAGATATAGACAGTGTGAGTGTACGAGTGTGTGTGAATGCGTGTCTCCTCACCCAGTATGTTCTCGTGTCTCATCAGGACGGTCTGGTAGATCTCGGTCTCCCTGAACCAGCTGGCCTCCTCTGTGGTGAAGAAGACCTTCACAGCCACCCGCTCGCCCCTCCAGCGGCCCATCCACACCTCCCCGTAGCGGCCCTTCCCGATCTGCTTCACCATCTGGATCTGCTTGGCGATGGTCCTCTGCACCTAAACCACACAGCGTTAGCATTAGCATTAATACCAGGCACCAGTTGCTCAAAAAGGTTACAATACACATGAAATCAGAACTAGCCGTATTGATGTTGTGAGCTCACATTGCTGAACGGTTCATCTGTGCTTGTCATTAAGAACAAAATAATAAATGTTTGTCCTTGAAAAGTAAGATTGAAATCTGATAATGCACTTCCTGTTTGTTTCCAGTTCAATTCTCAGATTGTGTCTGTCTGAGGTATTGGGTGTGGCTAACACACTTAACCACGCCCCTCCAGCTGTCAGTTTGACAGCAGCAGAGTGGTGAGCAGGAGGAGTCTGTTAGGCTGTAATAACTCTCCCTCATCTTTCTGAATGAAACGCCCACTTTACTACATCCAATCAGCTCACAGTAGAAAAAACAAGCCACGCCCACTGCATTCTCATTTAATATTCAGTTTCTCTAGGAAAAAATTATTCATGCTTTTATAACTTCTAGATTGGACTACTGTAATTTGCTATACTTTGGGAATAGTCAGACAACTCTATCCCACCTACAGTTAGTTCAAAATGTAGCTGCAAGGCTTTTAACTGGTACCAAAAATCATGACCACATCACTGAACTTGACTGAACATCAGTCTGGGGTGCGTTTAGCAAAACCACTGTTAGCCAACTAAGGTCGCAAGTTCCGTCGTTACAAACATGGTTTGTTGATTTGCCATTTCCCAAATCCGTCGCTCCAATGAACATTCGCAAACTGCAAACTTGAGCACTCGCAACTATACCTCTGGAGCTGTAGTTAGAAACAGTTCCTGGCTGTGTTCTATTCCCACTTATCCCCCCTAGGCCCTATTCATTTAGAACAGTCTAACATTTAAAGCTGGAATGAATCAAAATAATAAAGCATTAAGCTCATCTCTCTTAGCTGTAATTTGCTTTTAAAGTATTTCTACAGTTCAGTTTTGGCGATCTTCATGAATACATTTGTGCTCCCTTCGCAGTGCACTTTGAAAACATTGATGTCATTTTGAACACAGCCTCGTGATGAAAGCTGTAGGTGAGCTATTATTTAAAAGCGGAAGTTATGTTACGTCTCCAAAGCTTGTGAAAACAAAAAGCATACGTTAATTCTTTTAATTTATAGTGGGCTATTTATTAAGTATCTGTACTGTATATGACATGGGCCTGCTGGTCAGAACATTTCTGCAGCGGTTTAATGTCTCAAATTGTAAAAGTAGACTGTTCAAAGCATAAAAAATAAATAAACAACATCCTACTCAATAATAATAATAATTATCATCATCAACATTAATATTATTAATATTATTAAACTATGTTTTTCTAATAAATAATAGATATTACATTTAATTTCTTAATAAATAGCCTCATTATTTATGTATTTATTTATTTATTTATATATGATATTAGAATACGTGCTAGCTTTTGTAAATGATATGTTTTAGAATAGGGCGACGCAGTGGCGCAGTAGGTAGTGCTGTCACCTGACAGCAAGAAGGTCGCTGGTTCGAACCTCGGCTTAATGTTTTAATTAATGTATTAAAAAAAATATATATATATAAAAAATAAAATACCCCAGTCGACATGGTGGCTCAGTGTTTAGCACTATTGTCTCAAAGCAAGAAGGTTGCTGGTTCAAGTCCCGGCTGTGTCAGTTGGTGTTTCTGTGTGGAGTTTGCATGTTCTCCCTACATTTGCGTGGGTTTCCTCCACAGTCCAAACACATGCGGTACAGGTGAATTGGGATGGCTAAATTGTCCGTAGTGTATGAGTGTGTGTGTGGAGGTTTTTCAGGAGATGGGTTGCAGCTGGAAGGGCATCCGCTGAGTAAAAACATGCTGGATAAGTTGGCGGTTCATTCCTCTGTGGCGACCCCAGATTAATAAAGGGACTAAGCCGACAAGAAAAGAATGAATGAAACTCCGCCGGTATATTTCAGCAGCTGATGTGTTATTTGCATCATCACTGGTGACAGGTAATGCTGTGGTCCTAAGATGCATCAATTATGTCAGGTTTCCACTTTTTCCTTGTACTCGAATATCAAAACGGCCCTCCGATGAATTATCAGTCACTGAAATGGCCCCCCGATGTGAGTTAGAGCCCCCTGCTTTAGAGTTTTTAATGCAACTGATGCTGTACAGTGATCACTGATTTAATATTGCTCCAGTTTATAAAACCAGTCTGTGCTGATTCTCACTGACAACCTAACAAAGAGACAATATGACTACAGTTAATGCTTCTACTGACAAACAGAGTGTGCTGTGTGTGTCTGACCAGCAGAGGGAGTCCGGATCCGCTGCCGGAGCTCTGCGACTGCTCGATCAGATCCTTCAGAGACTCTCCAGCAGGAATGAAGCTCTCGTCCTGCTCCAGACCCATACTGTAGCGCGTCTGTGTGCCCTGACGCCTGTACCTGACACACACACACACACACACACACATTTATATAAACACATGCACGCACATACATACATATAAGCCAGACACACATATACACAAACACGCCAGAAACACATACATAAACATAAACACACATTCACCAACAAACACACACACATACACGTGGACACAGACACACATTTGCACACACATGCACATGCACACACCCACGCACATATACACACATGCCACAGACACACACCAACAAACATACACACATGCACATACAAACACACACATATATGCACATACATACAAACATAAACACAAACACACACACACACA